ACCATGCCTGGCTAATTTTTTCTATATTTTTAGTTGTCCAGATAATTTCTTCCTATTTTTTTTTAGTAGAGACGGGGTCTCGCTCTTGCTCAGGCTGGTCTCAAACTCCTGAGCTCAAATAATCCGCCTGCCTCCGCCTCCCAGAGTGCTAGGATTATAGGCATGAGCTACCACGCCCTGCCAGAGTCATTTTTTGTTAACCCTTTCTTCATGGAAGTGAAGACAGTTTATCTGGTTCAGTTTATCTTTAGATGGACACATGTGGAAATGGCCATTGTGTTCACCTAACTTGAGGAGATTGGGAAGTACAGCCTTGCGAAAGCTTTACTAAACAGGACTTTTCCTTATCGCTGCCATCCAGGTCATCTGGTAGATTTCACTTTCCATGGCTAAAAAAGTCAAAGAAAAAAGTCTTCCGTTAATGCTCCATTTTAGTTACTTTAAGTACCCAGGACTTGAACTGGCAGGTTGTGAACACCAGGTATTGTGCTGATTACTTTGTGGTCCAGGGTAGATTTGAAGAGCTAAGAGCTGGTTGGAACATTTGCTATTTCTAGTTTATTTATTGATTAATTTTTCAAATATTTATTTATTTAGGATCCATTATGTTTGATGTTTTATGTGAGGTATTTGAAAACCTATCCTGGCTTTGTTTTAAGGGTTAGGTTTTTCTGTTTGTACTCATAGATTTAAGAGGGGCCTCAAGAATTTGTCGGATTTCAGTTCCCTGACATAAGTAAGGGCTGCATTCTAAATCATTCAAAAGAGAGTTTCTTTTCCTAATCTTAAAGATGTGTAAAGAATAAGATCTGCTTGCTTAATCTTTCAACCTCTTGTAGGAAATAGCAGTCCTGTTTGGTAAAAATGTTTAAGTCTCTTTACTCTTGTTCTTTTATTTTTCTCATAGCTGTTCTTGTAGGATATTAAATACATTCTCTATCCCTACCAAGTCCTTACTTTTCCATATTATTTTTCCTTTTCTTTGTTTTTCATTGGTTATATTATCCAACATTTTACTAATTTTATTGTTGTTCTTTAGTGGCTCCTTTCCAAATTTTCTTGGTGATTTAAAAATGAACACCTATCAAATTGCTGTAGTTATGGGTTTTTTCCTCCAAAAACTTTGGGAAATTCAATATGTAAGTTATACTTTTATTTTGTTGCTTTCTGTCAATCTAAGTATTTCAAATATTTTATTATGAAAGTGATTCATAAATTGTATATAAATAATATTTCAAAACCAAATTACTTAAAATCATATCATTTGTTTTTTAAAGGGGTCCTATTGTGAGTTATTTTACAAAGTGAAGCTATTTTCAAACTTTTGGTTTCCATGCAAATTTTTACTTGTTGAATTTGCATGGTTCACATATATAGTCATGCACTGCATATTGACATTTCTCAGTCAATGACAGACCTCATATGAAAGTGGTCCCTTAAGATATAATACTGTAATTTTACTGTACCTTTTCTATGTTTAAATATGTTCAAATATACAATTACTTACCATTGTGTTATAGTTGCCTACAGTATTCAGTACAGTAATCTGCTGTCCGGGTTTGTAGCCTAGGAGTAATTGGCCATGCCATATAGCCTAGGTGTCTAGTAGGCTGTACCTGGTAGGTTTGTGTTCATACAATGATGAATTGCCTAATGATGCATTTCTCAGAATACATCCCTGTCATTAAGTGACATATGAATGTATTTATAATTCTTTTCTTTAAAGAACATTTGAGAGAATGCCAGAAAAGTCACTGAGGTCCTGGCCAACCGTGTTGGAATCTTAACATTTTCTTCTATTTTCTTTAGCTCTTTGTGCTATGGAAGTGCTTCCTCTTGCACTACCTTCTCCACCTCGTCAGTTATCAGAATCAGAAAAAAATCGGATGGAGGACCAGGAGGAAAATACTTTAAGAGAGTTGCGGTTGTTTCTCAGGGATGTAACCAAGAGGCTGGCCACAGATAAACGCTTTAACATCTTCAGCAAACCGGTGGATATTGAAGAGGTCTTGTTTCAGTAGTGTGCAAACAGTGAAGTTGAACTGGCTAAAAGAAAAAAATATTGACATCTTTTTTTGGAAGGAAAAAAAGCAAAGGCATGGATGAATATTACCCCTAGCCTGTAAAATTTTAATCCACATGATAACTACCAGTGTCATCAGCAAACATCTGGTGACTTTTCGATGAAATTAGTGACCAATTTGTATATGTCCTGATCTTTGTGATCTCTTACTCTTCAATTTAAGAAGAGAATTAAAAGTTACTTTAGTAAAATGTCCATACTAGACTATTTTTATTCCAGGATAAACCTACTCTTAATAAGTATATTGGTATTAACTAATCAATAGCAATTAATATTGGCATTTCCAAAATTATGTATACCTTATTAAAAGAGGTGGCTAAGAAACCTGAAATTTCTTTGTCTTTCATATTTTGGAAATGCCTGTGGTTAGGATGCTGTTTGAAGTTAAGCACATGCTATACAGCTAAAATTATTTTTCTCTCTAAAATTTTCTCTGCTGCCAGTGGAAAATTTCTCACTTTCTATATGTATTGTTTTGTGTGCTTGTGGGAGCATGGTTTGTGATCATGGAAAAAGAAATTTTCCATTTGGAATCCACTATAATACTGTCAATTATAGTTTTTGTTTTTTATCCTGGGATTAAATAGTGTGTGGATGAGCACAATGTGCTCTTTACTGGCCTTCTTATAGTTCAGACTCCATGTTTGAACAGCTTTGGTGTTTTTAGCTTTGATTTTTTTTTTCATTTCTTTAAAAAAGTTTGAATTATGAAATGATTCAAAGTTTCATGTTGTGTCCTAATTGTGAAATCTGTGCTTTTGGACCTGAGCAGATTCCTTTGGACCCATTACCTCATCTATGACTGAGAAGAATGAGCTAGCATTACATTTTACCCCCCTGGCAAGTCTGAAAATATCTATTCCTCCTCCACCTTTTTTTATTGTTTGTTTTGGGGTTTTTTTGTTTCTTTTTTATTCTTTTTATTTTTTTTTTCTTTTCTGTTTTTTCTTTTCCCCCTTTTTTGGAATAAAGGGACTATCTAATTTTATTTGTGTATTTGTCCACAGTATAATAGTTTTTTCCATTTGATCCTCTCAGCAGCTTTGCAAGGATCATTATTATTTTTCTTATTTTGCAGCTGAGGAAACTGAGGCTTACTGAAAAGTGACACAGCCAAGACTTGAAAGTTTTTTTAAATTCAAAGCCCACATTCTTTACATCATAACTACCTCATATCTTTTCTTACTGGGATAACAGATCATGTCTAATTTACTTTTCTAATTAATAAATATCACTTTTTATTTGTGGAGCATTTTCTCTCTTCATAGTGCTTTTAGATAATTTTAAAACTATCAGCCAATTCAATAAATAGTTTTAAGTGTGTGTGTGTGTGTGTGTGTATGTGTGTCTCCATGTCCCATTTGATATATTTGGATTATGATACTTCTTAAAGGATAAGGACTTGTCCCCAAGTCAACTTCTCATGCTGGGAGTAAACCAATTTTGCTTTTGCTCAGGAATAACTCTTTTTCTTTGTAACCAGAAAAGATTGTCAGATTTCAAATACCATCTGTAATACAATATAAGTTTTATAAATGATGGTAAGGCAGTGCAAGGGATAGAGAATGTGATCATATAAAAATTTTAGGCTGGACACAGTGACTCATGCCTGTAATCCCGTGACTTCGGGAGGCAGGAGGATCACTTGAGGCCAGGAGTTTGAGGTTGCAGTGAGCCGTGATGATGCTACTGCACTCTACCTGAGGCAGCAGAGTAAGACTTTTATCTCCAAAAAAAAAAAAGAAATAAATTCAGAAAACATTGAATTAAGCATAGGTGCTAAATTGTAGTCTTTAGTAATATAAATTTTTATAGTGCTTTTCAGTTTATAAAACCATTTCCACTTGTACACAGGGAATGCCAAATGCCAGAACCA